CAAAAGGAGTGAAGCCTCTTCTTCAATTTTCTCATGAAAAATGAATAGTTTTGTGATCTAGCCATTTGTTTCTGAATGTGGATACATATTTCTGTGTTTTCTCCACATATTTATTAAACTAACAAGTATTATATACATATTTATGTAAAATACAATTGGACAATGTATTTCAAATCAATAGAGTATTTTGAGTCATCACTCTGAATGATGCTTTGTAGATGCACAATTATATATTACTTTCTGGGATTTTTGGAATATTACAAGCTGTGCTGAGCTACTATTTAATTAAAACTGTCACTTGGGAGCCAGTTTCTTTAGGTTTTTGTGTCAGGACATCTGAACCTAGTTTACATATTGCTGTTAAAGCCATGCCCGGGTGCCGCGGTGAAGCTGCCCGTGGGTACAGAGGAGCGGCGGGGCCCTGCTGCAGTCGGGAAACCAAAACAACTCCAAATCCAGTTTGCTTTAGTCCAGTTGACAAAAGACTTTGCACCAACACTTCAGACCTGATGGGACGATATTTTTCTATCATTTGTGAATTTTCTGTTGAACTGATTCCACTCAATGCGATGCTTAGAGCAAAACTTTTCCTGCCTCTTTAACTTCTTTCATGCTAGGCAGGGTGGAAACGAGATATGTTTTCCTTAAAAGCCTTTATTTTTGCCCGCTTTTCTATTCGCCTTGTTACAAAGCACATTGGTATTCAGATTTGTCACCTTATAAAGCCCCAGTTCTGCTGAGGCTCTCCGGTCCCTACCGCCAGCGGCAGGATATTGAAGGATTTGAGCTGCAATCTCTAAGCAGCAGCAAACACTGCTTTAATCCAGCTCATTTCCATGCTAGATATAACTCGCTCAGCCCTACATTTCCTAGAGGTAATGCTTGATTTCCAGAAGCTGTTGTTTCTGGCCGTCCAGGCTTTTCTGGTGGAGTTTTCCCCGACAGAGGAGCGAGGGCAGGGCGGGCGGCAGCGGGGCCGTGAGGGGCTCTCCCCTTCCCTCTCTGTTGGCCCAGGGCTCGCCAAGGCAGGAGCTCGGAGCCCCTGCTCCTCCTCGCCCAGCCTCTGCTCCCCCCTGGGACCGCTTCACGCCGCGTGGTGACAGGGCCGTTACTGCAGAGCGGCCGGATGGGGACCACCAATTTAGTTCTCACAGACCGTGGCTTCTGGCTCTTCAAGAGCATTGTTTTGACACTGGCAGGAAAAAATTAGGCCATTGTCTTTGCTCCCATGAAATTTCCTGTCCTCTCTTTATGAGGTGTACGACTGCACAAAGTGCCTTTCTGCTCCCACAGCGGCGAATCTTGACACCCACGGCTTGGGCTGGTGTCCTGGGGTGGAATTTTTTTAAGGGCTGGTTTGGGCCGTTTGCCCATACGAAATGAATGAATGAATAAATAATCTGCAGCTGTCCGAATAGCTGTGACACCTCCGTGCTCTGGCCAGTGCTTTGGAAGCGGATGGGGAGAAGGAGCGTGGAGCCGAGCCCTTCTCAGCCCTGCTGAAGCTCCCCTGGCCGGGGACAGCTGAGGATGTGGGGGCAGCCCCCGGGTCCTGTGCCAGCGAGTTATAGGGCTGGGGTCCAGGGTACCAGGAGTGGAGGGAAGAGGCTTCTCTGCTCTGTGCTTGTTTGCCGAGACAGCCTGGAGGAGAAAGTTGAGCAGGGAACCCCATAGAAAAGCCGAGTACCTTTTCTCGAGGCTGGAGAACAGGGTGAGCCTGGAACATCTCGGGGGGTCTGGTTGCCTGGTGGGGGAATAGGGCTGGAGCAGGCGAGAGTGGGGGACGAGCAGGGCTGGGACAGTGCCAGCAGGACGGGAAAGGGGCAGAGACCGTGGAAAGCAGCTGGGGAAGGAGCCTTCTTTGCAGGAAGCCGAAATGTTATTATTAGTACTCAGTTTCCTGGACAAAAGAGTCTTGTCTATTTAAATACTTCTGCTTCACAGAGTCGTGGTTCTCCAGACACAATAAAATTTGCCTTTTCTCCCTGGTGTTTTCATTTTCCGTTTGCAGCAGGTGGTGCAGGCTACTGTGTGCTGCCGAGCAAGGCATTCGCGGGCTGCTGCGTGCGCCTGTTCTGCTCTGGGGACCAGGGAAAGACAGGTCCCATCGGTGAGGTGCTTGTTCCTCGTGTCCCACAGCAGGTACTGGCAGAGATGCTGCTCCTCCATGGCACTACTTCTGAAATGCTGCTGCTGGAGAGATTCAGATCTATCAGATTTGAATAAAAAAAAAATAAAAAAATGTAAATGATTGTTTTATGATCCAACAAAGAGGTGCAGAATCCCTGCTGACAGCCCTGTCTGGGAGACCCTGCCCCATGGTGAGCACGGGGAGACATCTTCTGCCTCTGTGAGCTTTGAGGGTGGCAGCTCTGGAGACCACCAAGACCTCGCAGAAGATAGTGACCAGCTCTCAGGACAAAGTACGTTTTGGGATGTAGCCCTGGAGGAGCGGGCATCCCAGCTGGCTGACTTTCTTTCTGAATGAAATTTACTGGCTTGGGCACTCGCCATCTCTGCAGCATGTGTAGAAAGCTCTTAGATGTCATGATTTAAAATCATGCCAGTCTTTTTTTTTTTTTTTTTTGGCCATACAACACACTAGTCTCAAGTGAAACAACATTCATTCTTCAAACAATAAATACTTGGGGAATGCACAAAGAACTGTAAATGTTTTATGGCCATGGATTTGGTTTATTCATTTTTTTTCACAATAGGTAAAGGCACAGATTTATACATCGTGTGCATAAAATCAGTTATCTGCCAGCAAAGCAAGCACAAGTAACACTCCTACACCACTGCAGCTCTGTGCCCTGTGCAGGCTGGACCCGTGTGCCTGCAGCAGGCTCTGGCTTCTCCCCCAGCTGCAGGTAAAAGCAAGACAAGGGGCACGTTTGGTCCCAGGTGAGGATGTTTGGGGCTGGGAAGAAGGAAAAATTCACCTGCTGCTGATGGTCCTGAGGAGGGGCTGGGGAAGGGTTGGGATGGGGTGGAGGGGCACTGGGAGACTTGTAATGTCTGAATGCAGCCACCCCCTGGCTGCACGCTGTGGAGTGTGAATGGGGAAGGGGTCTGGCAGTCAGCGTGTGAGCTGGCATTTCATCTGGAGGTGTGATTTTTGCTGACATGAGATCACACTCAGTTCCACTAAAAGTGTGATTTTCCTTGCCTGTTTATTTCTAATTGTTCTTGGTTGCATAAATGAGCACCAGCAGCACTGGCATCTGCAGGCAGAGACCTGGAGAGCTGTGTGTGAGCTGCTGACTTCCTCTGCTGTGTGTAGGGACAGCTTAAACCAGCAGGTATTTAGTGTAGGTGAGTGCATTTAGGTGAAAGCCCATGTGCAGATCCACGGTGCTGAGTAATTGTGGCTCACTGGGTTGTCTCTGGAAGTTTTTACTGCTTAGGAATAAAAAAATCAAAGTAATGGGTATTTTCCTTCTTATCCACACTACAGGCATCATTAAGGATTCCATTTTGTGTGAGGTTTTGTACAGAAGTTTCAGTAAAACTTTAGTAAAAGCAGCCTTAAGCATGTGCAAAATGTTGTAAGAAATGAAAGCTTCCCCGTGCTGTCCTCTCCTTCCTCCTCACCTTCCTGTGCGATCCCAGACAGCACCGTGATGGGGGAGGGATTTTGCACAAAGGTAGCTCCAGGATCAGCCTTCCAGCAATTCAAACCCCCCCCCCCCGTGCATCCCGCTTGGAGCTGCCTGGCAATCTGCTGGGCTCCCAGTTGTGCCTGCACCAGGGAGTGCATCTGGGGGAGGGCGATTCATCGTGCACCCCCCTTCCTAAACAAGCCTCCAGAGTAAGGAGCCTTAAGGAAGGCCAAAATATTTCACTCTAAACTATTCCTCAGCTTCCACGTAAATAGGGGAGTGATAATAACACCCTGCTATCTCCTGTGAAGTGCTTGGAGAAACACGGATAAAAGCATCCCTAAGTGTAAAGTATCATTACTTGGCAGCTGCTGCTCTCCTCCTCCACTGCCTGCGCTCTGCCGGCCGCTCATTAGTTTAAAGGCTGCAAATAACCTCCAGAGCTTCTCCAAGCGGAAACGAGAAATGCTTTGCTAGAAATGATAGCTCTTTGTGCTTTTTTTTTCTTTTTCTTTTTCTTTTTTTTTTTTTTTCTTTTCTGCTTTTGTGATATTCACGTGTGAGCCAAGGCCTGTGATTTGGAAGGAATTTTGCCTGGAGGTTTGCAAAATTGAATGTGGAAATGTTCAGGAAGCGTTGCATAAAGATGACTTTTGATGTTGCTGTACAAACAGCCACGAGCCCGAGCTCGCAGCCCCAGGCTGTGCCTCTGCCCAGAGGTCTGCAGCCGGAGCGCCGGCCCCGCGGAGGCAGCGCCGTGTTTGCTCACAGCGTCTCATTTGCCTTTTCATTTAGCAATTTGTCTGCTCTCTTTCCTCTTCTGCAGTTTCCTCCCTCCCTTGCCTTGTAAAGTGATCGTCTGCTACCTTTCCCGGGAATGGCAGCGCTCCCCGGAGAGCAGCGGAGGGAGAGAGCCTAACGAGCACACGCGGCCCCGTAATGCTGCTTTTCCCTCTCTTTTATCCCAGGCCATTTGTTGGGTGGTGTGGTTGACAGGCTGCTGCGGGCACTAGGGAGACAAGCACGACACCACCTTTCTTTGGTTACTTTTCTGCTCTTTTTCCCTTTTTCCCTCTGAAACTTAGGCTCTCTCCCACCATTCCCCAGCTGTCCAGCCAGGCTCCGTGCAGGCACCAGGAGCCCTGACTGCCCTTCCTCTTTGCGCCCTGGTGCCTGCTGAAGATGCAGATGCCTGATCTGGGGGGCAATTACCAAGCAAGCGAGAGTTACTTGGGGTTGTTTTATTTTAGTTTTGTTATTTGTGACGGTGAGTGGGTCTGAGCAGCATCCGGCCGGTGCTGTCCTCTCCAGATCCACATCTCACCACTTCAATGCTGCCCAGGTCAAACCTGCAGGTCCGTACATCCCCGCTGCAGACGTGGCCAGTTTTGAGGTCTT